CTCCCCTCCCCCTCCCTCTCCTCTCTCCCTTTCTCCCTCCTCTTCCCCTCCCCCTCCCTCTCCCTCTGTCTGTTGGAGTGTGTGAATGCAGGTGCAGGTATGCCTCAGCAAGCTTGTGGAGGTCAGAGGACAGCCTCAGTGTGTGTCGGTTCTCGCCCTCCGCCTTGTTTCTTTGTTATTCAGAGCTTTGTGTGCTAGGCTAACTGGCCAGGGAGCTTCCAGGGATTTGGGGATTTGGGGATTCCACCTCCCATCTCCCCATAGCAGCTCTGGAGCTGTAGATATGCCCAAACATGCCCAGCTCTTACATGGGTTCTAGAGAATCAAACTCACATCCTCACACCTGCGTGACAAGTGCTTCACCCACTAGGCCATCTCCCCAGCCCAGTTTCCATTTCTTCATCTGTAATGTGAGTATCATCCCCACACCACATAAGCTAGTTTTTAAGAGGCAGCGATAGAGCACATGTTGATTCCCTCTCGTCACTTTCCTTGCATGATTGCCTAATTCTAGTGGGATCACAAATGAGCAAAAAGAACTGACAAGCCTTCTTTAAATTCCTGGTATATTCAACCAAGCATATGGAAGCCATCAAGACAGATGCTGAAGATGACAGCAATCTTTAGCCCCCAATGTCCCTAATGAAGGGCGCTCAGCTGCCTGTGACAGTACTCAGGTCTTGCTGGCTGGAGATGCTTAATTTGTGCTGTATTATAGCCTAGTTATAATTGGGACTGACATCACCGTTCAGGAAGAGCTTCCCAAAGCTTTCTCCATCCTTAATAAGAAACCCCACACAGCCGGGCATGATGGTGCGTGCCTTTGATCCCAGCACTCGAGAGGCAGAGGCAGGCAGATCTCTGTGAGTCCCAGGCCAGCTAGGGCTATAGGGAGACCCTATCTCAAAAAAAAAAAAAAAACCAACAAAAAAAAGAAACCTCACGAATGAATGAGTGAATGAATGAATGAATGAATAAATAAATAAATAAATAATAAATAAATAAATAGGGGCTGGAGAGACGGCTCCGCAGTTAAGAACACTGAATGTTCTTGCAGTAGACCCAGGTTCAAATCCCAGCACCCACACGGCAGCTAACAACTGTCCATAACTCCAGTTCCAGGGGATTCAATGGCCTCTTCTGTCCACAGGCATTGCATGACACAGGTGCACTTACATATATGCAGGCAATACACACATATACATAAAATAAAATAATAAAAATAAATAAATAAATGTAATTGAGAAAGAAAGAAAAAACAAAACAAAACAAAAAAACCCCTTACCTCCAGCACTCTGTTTCTCCTCAAGGAAGCCCCACATCTTTCCAGGTGGGCACAGAGCCAGCCACCAAAGGCCTCACCTCTGCCTCCTTCCCACTGGAAGAATTTGTCCCCTGGGTAACACAGAAAACATAGTCACCAAGATAACAAAGATGCTATCTCAGTCTCAGTTCACATGTGGTAGTTCCATTATTGATTTTGTGCTCTTTGTAAATTAGCCAGATAAAGTCACAACTAATGTATGCATAATGAGTCCGCCTTTGTGTCTGCCTCCAATGGGAGTCGATTTCTCTCCAATATTAATAACCTCATTGTGTGGTTAATGAATTTCAGGGAGCTCAGTTGTGTTTGGGCTAATATGACATTTCTCTTTTGTTCTTGTTTGTTTGTTTTGTTTTGTTTTTAGGGTCAAGTTGTGTTCCGGAACGGGGAAAGAATGGGAACCATTAAATTTACTCAATTTCAAGGTAGGCTTTTTGATGCTTACTCTTTCTAGCTGATGGGATTTATATTCAGGGATGATGTGTTTCTGCAATAAAAGGCATCAGAAGAGATGGAAGTCTGATATAAAATCTCAGATAAAGCAAGCCAATGGGAAGCACTTCCCTGTGAAAACATGAGTTCCAACAGATGCAGGATATTGTTTCTCAAATGCCTCAGCCCCAAGCAAATCAGACTTAGGAAAAGAGAACATTGCTAAGTCAATTGCAATATACTGAGAAGCCTACATGGTTTCAGGGTTTGATTACAGAAGTGTTCTACACACTCCACGGTGGAGAGACCAGCGTACTGACCCCTCGCATCCGCATCACCCAGCTTAGTCCATTGCCACATTTTGCCAGTCTTGTTGTTATCTTGACTCTTCACCATCCTCCCCTTTTTACAGGCCTATTGGAAAGCTACTCCTGGACATGATCTCATTTCAACCTATAAGCCCTTCAGTATACCTTTCTTCTAGAGAAGGGCTTTTTTAAACATAATCACCATACCTACTGAAAACATTTCACAAATCTTAATGTCTTTTCATTCCCAGTCTGTTGGTCCTTTGACCATTGCAAAGCTGTTTTCAGAACCGATGGTTTGATGGAGACCATGGCATGGTCAGATGTGTCTCTTTAGTCTCTGTTCTATTGTACAACACACACATGCACACACACACACACACACACACACACACACACACACACACACACTTTTATAGATCACTTAATGTTTTGAAGAGACCAGTCCATTCGGTGTGCTTTGCCCCTCCAGCCCAAGTCGGAAAAGGACTCAGAAACTACCCCAACTGCCTTCTGTGAGTAATGAGAATACAGTCCAGAGGAGAGGTGGTGTCTCAGGGCATACTGGGGGGCAAAACTGGACACTCCTTGGGGCAGATGCCTCTGTTTGGCCCTGTATGGCCATTAGCATCGTGGTCAGCCTACACCACTGGAGGAGACATTCATCAGTGCCCTGCTGTTCAGCATCTTGACAAGAAATGAAGGCCCTTGCTTTGAGCAGATCCCAGAGCCATCCTGGAGAAAGCAAGAAATTAAAGTCAGTTCTTCAGATTCATTCAGACTACCCACCGGGCTCTCGATCAATGGGGAGAGGCGTTTCTCAGTGCTGCTGCCTCGTAATGCAATTGTGTAGGTTTGCCCATTTGTCTTCCCACAGCAGGTAATTGAAACGCATGTCAGCTCTCTGGCGTGTACAAAAGGTGTCATTTTAGGCAAATGTAATTTTTTTCCCATTTGTTAAGTCTTCTTCATTGGTTGAACAAAGTAAGCATCCTAGCAAATCTGCTTTTATTTTTTTTAATTTTTTTTTGAATGATTGCAACAAAATCCTCTTGTCACATTTCCAATTCTCAAATTATATCATTGGAGGAGATTATTTTGTAAAACATGGATTGTTTGGTCATAGCTTCTATCACATGCCAGTTTACCACCTTTCGCTTTTTCATGTAAGTTTAGACACCGACTCCAGTGACTGTGGGTTTAGCATATCTGGGCAGTATAGTACAGCGAACAGTAAATCAGAACCAGGCTTTGTGACGGTCCCTCCCACCTGAACTCAAGTCATGGGCTTGCTGGAGTGCATCAGGCCAGTGCCATTGCCTTTCCGAGCCTCCACTGTCCTTGTCTATAAAGTAGGGCTGTAGTCCTGCTGATGCTCTTGGAATGAGGGAAGGACATAGTGAGGTCGCACATAGCAACTTGTATGTTTAGTTTTTTACTCAGGAATTAAGTAGCAGTTGGGACTCGACCCTATCAAAAGTGTGGCCCTTTTCTGGGGCAAATCTATATTTTCCTGGTGTTTTGTTTATATCCACCATTGGGAGCTTCCTCCCTCCCTGCCCCTATGTATTTATTGAAAATAGCTCATCCCAACACTTTATGGCAAAAATGGGGAAACTGAGGCATGTGGAAGAGACCTGTTCTGTGAGAGTGGATGACTGGCAAGTGGCAGGACTGGGCTTGGATCTCAGCTTTTCTGGCTTGCCAACACCCACATGCACACATGAACACCTACACCTGCCTGTGTTCTCCTCCCTCTCTGTGTTCTTCTGTGTCCAGCTTTTCCTGAGTGCCTGTTTCCTGGTTGTAGAACAGACCCTGATCCTGTGGACCTGGCTGGAGGGATGAGCACAATCATTAGTTTTCTGAATTCAAAGGGTTTCAGAACTGTCTTGACCACCAGGTTCTAAAGACCCTGAGCTGGGGACTGGGCCCACCAAGCTGAAAGGACTCCTGGTTAGTCTGTCACTTTAGAGAGGACTCTGGGACCCAGGTTGGAGATGGGACTTGTCTGGGGCAGGCCCTGCCTGGCTCCCATGTCCTCTGGAACCTTCAAGGAGTTTTCTCCACAATATAGACCATTCCTACACCCTAGGGTTACCAGCTCCTAAATTGTTCCGTGCATGTGACCTCACAAACACCTCTACTCTTCATACCCACTCTACCATGTCCATTTCTCTCTCACACCTCTACTTTCCTCCCTCATCCAGAGGGGACAATGGGGCAATAGGTCTGGTGGCAGAGTTGACTCAATAGGGTGCCTCTCAGATGGCCCACAGTGGAGGCTTCCTGTCCAGAGCTGCTCTGGGTCTCGACTACATAGTGCAGGTATAGTGGCATCTTGGGCCCATGCACTCTTCCTCTGAAGACTTCAGGAGAAACTCTCTCAGATTCTCTTCTGCATAAGGTGCCTGGTGCCTTCAAGACCCTTTTCTCTTCAGCAAAGGAAGAGTTTTATAGAAGGCTCTATGTGGTGGTGATGTTGTTGTTGTCATCATCGTCTTAAGACAGGATCTCACTGTGTAGCCCTGGTTGGCCTAGAACTCACTATGTAGACCAGGCTGGTCTTGAACTCACAGAGATCCACCTGCCTTTCCCTCCCAAATGCTGGGATTAAAGGTGAGCACCACCAGTCTGGCTCACTCCTTTTCAAAGCTAAACTACAAGTCATTAGAAATGATAGGCAGCTTTGAGAGCCAAAAGAAGAGCCCGAAAGGCAGGCCCCGTCTTTGACTCCAGGAACGGAGGGTGGTTGCCCTCAGTAACTAGAATATCATTAGGCCTAGTAGAAGTTTAGTGATTTCATTTGGCAATAAAAGACCTTGATGTAAATGGTTGCTTTGAGGTTTACAGGCAGCATTGCCTAGGCAGGCCCCTTTGCCTTCTAAGCCTCTCTTTGCTGCTCTGCAAAATGGGATGCTGTCAGCCCTGTCTACCTGTGAATACTCCAGCTCTGGGAGGCTATTCTGATGTTAGTGGGCTGCCTTCTTCTGCCTGGCCTTTCCTCTGTGTTTGCGGACACTGTTAGTGAAAGTGTGGCCCCCAAGCTTGAACCATTCTCCTCATGGAAATGTATGGACATTTTCATTTACTCCTGGTTTTCAGTGACTTTATTCAAAGCAGAATATCTGGCAAGCAACAGGTAGCCTTAGCAACAGACCAGTGAATGGATGCTGATCTACACTGGTGGTGGTTTTCATTCTAGAATGGAGAACTGCCTTTCAGTGTTAGCAGAAAATTCAGAGTACTCGATAAATGGCCCAAATGTCTTAGTTTGTTTGCCCTAGGGTGACTTTTGAGCCTGGAGTGTTGGGAATCCAGGGAGGGCATTGACAGAGTCTTCCTCATCCTGCTCCTCTCCGTTTACTCAGGTGAGGTTAACTTCCCATCAAGACTAGGGTAAGTGATTGCTGCCGTCAGTGCCCCCCTGCTGGGCCCCGGGCATCCATTTTGGTCCAGAACAAGCCCAACAGTATCCCACTGGGAGCACCACCACCTCCCCCTTGTGGATCCTGTTGTCCAGGAAGTTAATGCTTCCATTTCCAGGGACAGCCCAGAGCCATGGTGAGTGGCAGGTTGGGTTCAAATGCTCCAGCATCCTCCACTTTGAGTGAAACAGCTCAAGCCTCAGCTGCCCACATAGAAACCTAATGCCTACTCATGCCCCTGTACCAGCTCTCCTCCATTCCCTACCCCACTGGCCACACCTCCACTACCTATCCTAGGACCTCCTCCACGTAGCTTCTGTATCCCAGTCTTATCTGGTGGGCACTAAGCTCTCTGCCCTGGGTGACAGGTGAGGCCAGGGTAGTGTCACCATCCTGCGTCACCATCCCAGCCTGTGCCTTGTTCTGATTCTGACCCAAGCTTCCTGCACCTCCCCAGCCACTCTGTCTTCTGACTCACATGGGGATAAAGATGAATACTGGAGAAGTAGCTTTTTCTTTCCCTTTAAGAGGGAAAAAGATTCCCTGTAACTGCCTGTAACAGCCCTGGGAATCTGCAGCGGAGAGGAAGTCGAGCAGAGCGTGATTAGGCCTTGTTTGGCGCGCTCATAGAAAGCCCTGCATCTGCTCCAAGCTGCCTGCCTTCATTAGGCCCATTTGTGAAACTGACGGATGGCTGCTTCCGTGAGACATAAAGGACAGCCTAGGAGCTGGTGTCCCCACACCTGATTTGAAGGGATGGGGTCTTACAGGCTCTAATGACATCATTGTGGTTCACAATGCACCTTCTGTGGTGGAGGCCCCTCCTTTCCAAGCACAGCCCTTAATCACCACCTGGCCTTGGGGTGAAGGCTGCAGCTCTCTTCAATGTGCTCTTCTTGAACATCTGCTTGGTGCTTTGCTGAGTCCTCTGGGGGAACACCAAGTTGAATAAGCTACAGTTCCTGGTCTCCAGAGGCTTCATGATTTCTCTGGCCAAATGCCAACACCCATAAAGGCAGGAAGAACATTTCCCAGAATCTACTAGAAAATGTTCAGAGTTGGTTTGGCCCTAGCTAGAGGTTCTTCGGGCTAATTTTTTTGTTTGTTTGGATGTGGTTTTTTTGTTTGTTTGTTTGTTTGTTTTTGTTTTTTTTAAGACAGAGTCTCCCTGTAGCCCCAGCTGGCCTGGAACTCACTATGTAGACCAGGGTGGTCTTGGTCTCATAGAGATCCGCCTGCCTCTGCCTCCTGCATGCT